AAAAAAAATGAAAGGGGGGGGGGGGGGGGGGGAGATTAAGTGATTTACCATGGCGTCTCCATAAAACTTGTCCTGTTAACAATTATATTTGGCTTTTATTGTAAACAATAAATGGACAGGGGAAATAAAGAAAGAACGCAATCTATTAGGAAACAAGATACTTTGTTTCAAGCAAGTTGCCTGGGAAATGATATAGATCTTCGTTGTCTGAAAAAAATTTCAGGATCTGTGGTGTGTATGTGTTTTCTATATGCTGTTTCTGGAGTTGAAGGTGCTGTTTCTAAGGTTTCTCTGGGTAATCTGCTTTTTAAAGGAAAAGGGAATCTTTTAAATACTTTTCTCTTCTCTTTTGTTGATTCATTTACGATCTTCGTTTTCTTCTTGTGACTTATGCCCTTGCTCTCATGTACACGCTCGCGCACGCACCCAAACCACCCAGCATGGACGATTCTGATGGACCTTTTTTTTTCTTTTTTTTTTTTGAAAACTACGATTCTGATGGACTGAATAAAAAATGTAGTCTCATCTTTCCTGATGCTAGCAATAATGCATTTTATTGCCCAGGAAACTGAGGGCTTGTTGCAGCAGTTGATCCTCGCATCTAATGCTGGAAGTTCTGCTTCTACTGCTGCCAAACAGTATCAAAGGCATGAAGCTAGTGGGAGGCTGATAACAAAGTGTTCTTCCTTCAACAACTGCCTGGGCCCTGAAGAAATTTCAAAACCTGGATATTTAGAGTTGACTAATCTAGAGGTGGAATATTTATGTATTTGGGTTTGCAGAAACACATATGGGTTCAGAAGTCCTAAGGTTGTTAAAAGCACTCATCTGGATAAATCTGGTGAGCCTATATCTATATCCACTTCATGAATAACATTTTTATGTTTCATTTTTAGCTATCATACAGAAGATACCAGTTAGTTTTGTACTGAAAATCAAAGAGGAACTCTGAACAAGATGCACAAGAAAGTTTATTGAATAGATAGAGCCTTGACAGTATTGAACTGTTCAATGAAATTGTTCACCTGGCTGAATGTCGAAAACTAATGGTGAAAGAAGATATACCTTTTGTATTTCCAGTTTCTACGTGAGGACACTTT